TATGCTCAAATTTGTAGGGTTGACTCTAGGGACATGCCCAATCAACATGCAACTGATATATGATCATGAATTAGATCTCATTAGAATGAGTTTCAAGTATATTAAAAAAAACACCCAAAGAGAGTTTTAGGACATAAGCCTTTAACCCTGGATTTTGACATGGAGTCTGGATTTGAGGTGGATTTCGAGTTTGAATTATCCACGTCAATCACAATCACATAAATGATTAAGATTGGTTGGATAGGATTGAAACTTGATTGAGGGCTGGACTGGAGTCTAGTGTTGAAAAATGAACTGGAAATTGAATTAGAAATTGGGTTGGAATTTGATTAAGGAATGGATTGGAATTTTACTAGGACCTATGTGATTGACAAGTGGACACTTGCCAACCATCGTGTCACTAAGAGGGAGCCTAGGTAGGTCCTGATGACTTCATATAAAAACGAGGTCAACAAAATCTTATTTGAATTAAATCATATTCATCATGTTTGAGAGGCCAACTGTATAAGAGCTAAGTGTAGTCTATATGTGTAGACAAGTTGTATAATTTTAGGCCACATCCTAATCATTTTGACATACTTCATTTTCACATGATCTAGTGAAACACTAAACCCAAAGTGAATTCCCGCATCATTGTCATCCACATCCTTTTGTTCACTCATTATAGCATATATATTAGTCCTAAGTGAAGTCCTAATGTGTAGACACAATTAGTTCCAACACACATATTATATTTAATATATGGAAGTATTTATGTATCAACTTGCTTGATCTTAGCACGTATACTAGATTCAATGCATATCATTTCAACCAAAATAATTATAACAAACATTGATATGATATATTGACTACTTTCTTTTTCATCACATGCATCTCATTGTGAGTACAATGTCAATCCAATGATGTGCATATGGTCATTGTAGCCATCACCATTCGATTATACCCATCTCATTATGAGAACACTCTATGTTTTATCGTGTGAACCTGTAATAACCTATTTTGTTTGAATCATACATGTTCAACACAACTATTTATAGCTGGTTCTCAGCATTGTTGCCTTACATTTTTTTGTGCAATCCATAATGGAGGTTTTTAAAATCAATAAAGGATCTCGTGAGAGGGAGGGAGAGTTGTGGCAAGAAGAAGAACAGAGAGGATGCAGTCGAGCCAATGAGTGGGACATATAGAAGGCTGATTGGTGGCTTTGACAACCCAACAAGCCATATGAAGAGGAGGCAAGACCAATAGCTCCTCTGTCGGCTGCAAATCCTTGAGTTAGCTCTTGCTGTCGAAAACCATAGGGAAGGAGCCGGGAATGGAAAAGGGGGAAGAAGGAAGAAGATCTCATCCTTTTCTTTTTCCTCTTTTAGACCTTTATCTTCTTCATCGAATTTGATTTGGGTAAACCCTAACTCAAATTTCCTACTTTTATACTTTTTGTAGTAATGTTAGGTATCATAATTTGATTTACCTACAACATTAAATTGAATTCATGTTTCCCAATGCTAAGTTATGATATAAATTGATTTAGAATTTGGGTAATATAAAGATTTGCCAACTTAGTTAACTTATAATTTATTTATTAGTATTATTATTTTGAATTCTATTTGAATCAATAGCTTTTATGTTCCTCATAAATTTGTTAAAATTACAACTAAATGAATTTTGTTCTAGTTGCAACCGTGGATTATTATTATTATTACTATTAGATACCATTTAAACTCATAAATAAAGAATGAATATTATGCATATGATTTAGTAATTAAAGTGATTATTAAATTATGAGATCATCGAGGTATACTAGGTGGCATATAGCAATATCTGATGATTATGATACAAACCATTAATGCGTTTTTTCTTATAAGTGGAGGTAGATTTTAGTTTTTTTTTTCATAAAAAAAGACTTAATTATGATGGGTTAACTTATGGTTAGGGGTATATCTAGAGACTAGAATGATGGAAGCCATAAAGCATTAAAGATAAACGTATTCCATGAAAATACTTAATTTGTTAAATATAATTAACTTAATTATTTTGGCTGCTAAAAATATTGTGCAATGTATTAAATATTTGAGTTATTTAGATTCTTTTTAATCTAGGATTGTGGAGCAGAAAATGTTGAAGAGAGAAAAATTGAAATCAAGATCGAAATGTTCAACTACTTATGAATTCAGTCTTGTGGGTAATTATTTACTGAGTAGATGATAAACATACAATTCATTGCAAGGGCCACTTCTCTTGCTGCTTGTTGTATGTTTTACTTACTGATAGTAAATGTAATACACGCTTTTCCATTCATAGTATTTAAAGTGACTATTTTGACATTATATGATAGTTAACTCTACCATTTTACTTGTTGCATGATTTTATAGATAGCTCATGCATTTTATTCTAATTATTGTGTATAATTATTGCTCGTATAATTCATGAATTTTGTGATGCCTATAAATGAGTTTAATTATGTTAAGCATTATTATTGAAATACAATATGCATATAATACAGGGTTGTGTATTTGATGAATGCAAATGTCAATATTTAACCCTTTTAGATACCAACGGTTCTCAAAGTGACGACTCAATAAGAAATCATTATACTTCTTTGGAATTGGTGCTTAATTTTCTTGGCAAGGTATCATATTAAAACAACTTTAAATGTTTACATACTGATACACAGAAAAAAAAAAAAAAAAAAAAACTAATGAGTAATTGATGGATGCATAGATATTACATACTTGTAAGTGAATGTGTTTACATTCGAATGCAATGAGTTATTAGTTGGAACATATATTTCCTTTGAATTTCTATTATATAAGAAACTTTAACAAGTGAATTATATGTTCAAAATCTCATGCCATATACATTGTTTGAATGCTATTGTATTCCATTGCTTATTTTTCACTTATATTCCTCATTTTGCTCATATTTATGCTTATGCCTTGCCGTTTATGTTTTACTTAGTAGGATTTTACCTGTTGGGTTTATTTCTTGGAAACTCACACCTATTATTTTATAATTTTATGTTGCTAGTTGTGTTGCTACTGGAGGAACTTATAGGTTAATGCATTAGGTTCATCTATGATAGGTATTTGAGGTTAGAGTTATTGAATTGATTTGGTTGTATAGTTGAATTTCTTTTATATTTGGCATTTAGAATATATTTGGGTTTAGATGCTCTTATGATTTATTGGTGAATACAAATTATTGAAATATCATATTTCCAATGTTTTGAAATGAAGTTGTAAATTTTATTTAGCTCGCACTCTACCATTGAGTTCAATGAAATTTTCTTTGAGGGTTGGCGACGGGGGTGTGACAGGACCCATCTGTGACCATAATAGTGTGTCACGACCCGACCCGATGGGGACGGATCCCGCCCGAGCCGGACCGCGACCAAACCTCTTTATCCAGGATCTGGCTTTGGAATTTGGTTACTGAACTGAATCTTCCAAATAATTAACTCAACAGACACACCAACACAGAACAACAGAGCTACTATAAGTCACCAAATGCAGCGGAACAAAACATCTATATTTTTCTTTTCCTCAAAACAATCATCTACAAATACAGTACATGGCTTTTGAACAGAAAGAAAGACAGAACAGAAAAGCCATGACTGTACAAAAATTAAAAGGTACAAACAATACCTATACGGATCAGAACTCAGAAATCTACTCCTGGACTTCCTTCCCTTTCCCAGAACCTGAAAACCACCAGAAAACAAGAGTGAGCTCAACAGCTCAGCAAAGCAACAAACCTCCAATCAAAACTCTCAGAATCCAAAACCAAACTCATCAGACAGAAATCAGAAACTCAGATCATATCAGAACAGAATTGTACGGAAACAGAAGTCGTATTAAATCAGAAACAGAAGGACGATCAGACCAAATTGGATCGTCCTGGACGGTTCCCAGAACTATTCTCAGGCCGACATTTTCTACAGTGCCGATCGGCCTGGACGATGTCCAAATCGGCCTGGACGATATGTACAGAAAATCACCTGGAGCAAAACTGGATAAATTCTGGAGCAAAATTACAACTGATCGTCCTGGGACGATCCTGGAGCAGATTTTTGACATTACATAGTGTGTGCCATATCATACCTATGGTGTGTCCTTTAATCCCATGCACTCCATCGCGATTGCGATATAAGCTTGATCACACACGCCCCTTTGAAATCATTATTTTCATTCGATCGTATGTCTCCCCGTGAATCGATTATTATGATGGTTCATCTGATTACATGAGACATATCATAATTGTGTTATCTATTTGATCATGTGTACCCCATTATGATAATAGTCTTCATCCAATCATGTATATCTCATAATGATCACAATATATGTTTGATTGCAAATATGTCTCCACACTTGCAATCTCCATCGGATTTCACATGTCTTATTTGTTCAGTCTCTCCTTGCTAGAAATGGTTGATCAATCAAGTTTGGCTTGATTTGATTGATCAAGTTAGTACGCGATGGTTTTTTTGAAATTTTTTGAATATTTAATTACAAAGTGGTAGTTATTTACTTAATTAGACATTGACTTAATAGAAGTTATAAAATTAAATTCAATGGGATTCAATTATGTTGAATTTTAAACATCAAAATGCACAAATTTTAATTTATTTTTGGGAAGTACATGTGCAATCCTTGACATCACATCTTGACCTTCTACTTAACTATGGCTGATTGTTCATGTAGATGTTGCTCGAGCGACAATGATTATATTTGATGTTTGGAATGAAGGTGCTTGAGCCTTGAGGGAATATCTTGCACGGATATTTGCATTTTTTTCTTGAAGATTATAACTCATATTTTTGTTTGCAAAATTATTTCAATCAAAATAATATTTGATAATTTTTTTTCTAAATAAACATATGGTGGATACATTTGTTCAATTATTAATAGCATGATATATATAAAATGAAAATTTTTATTTATAAACGATGTGGAGAATTTAGTGGGCTCATGCAAGAATTCGGGTATAGAAAGCCACGAATATCATCGGGTCGGCCCACGCTTGATCTCAGCCAGAAAGAATTCAAAAGCCTTGTTCCGAATTCCAAAATTTCCCTCCAATGGTTCACTAGTGCAGTCCGAGGAGCGAACCCTAAAGTTGTATTCTGGTTACCTTCCAGAGAACCGTGCCGTGATCCATGTCGCCCAAGGATAAGCTGCAGCGGAGTGCCGGCGAATTGGAGGAGGACACTTGCACGAGGAGGAAGAAGTCGAGGCGAGTCAGCTTCGCAGAGACTACCGTCCACGTTTTCAAACGTGATGACGAGTCCGAGAGCCCGGCAAACTCAACTCCGGCTCCCAGCGAAGGTTTCGGACATTCGGACAGTGAGGGGACGGTAGGTTTCAGAGGGCTTCAATCTCAGGGCGATGATTCCGTGGAGTCCGCCCCTGATGACGAAGGGAAGAATGGTGCGCGGTTCAGGTTCGTAAGGGATATCGATTTATCTTCTCCAGGAAGCGCTGTTGGTTCTGTCACGTCTAATGAGGGTACCGTTCATTCACTATGTGCATTTTTTGGTCTCAATCTTTTTGCATGTTTAATTAGTTCAGTTTGTAAGGACTAAGAAATGTCATGTATGATACACGATGCGATAGATAAAATTAGTAAGAAAACTTATGCTAAATGCAAAGTTAGGATCATACTAAATTTCATTCACTTGAAGCAACCCATTGTAGGAATCATTGCAGCACATCGTCTGTACTGTATTAATAGATTTTTATGAATATGCTTGATAAACAGATTAATCGTTGGATTCGAGTTTTTTTTTTTTTTGAATCATAAATAGTTTCAAAGGTGGAGATGAAGATTCACGATCCTGGTCTAGATTTGAAGCCCTTCCAGTGAAAAGTATTTATTTATTTATTTTGGTAGGAAATGTATGCATATTCCATACCAGCAGGACAGAGCCTACTATCATTAATTTGGGTAAAATAATCCTGCATTGCGGGATTAATTAACTTAAGCTTCTTAGATAAAGAGTTTTCAATTGATGAAGATCAAAGGCTACTCATTGATTGTTCTACATCATGTCGCTTGACAAAAAAATATATGAAAATATATATGATGAATGCTTTTTTAGATTGTGATTTTTTGAAAAATTTTCTAACTGTTGGATTCGCTTTTTATATACAACGAGTGTGCTTGGCTGCAACTTCCCCACCGACCTCTTAGTGTTGAAGTGCCTGGACGACAGGAGGGGTCGGTCCCCGTCGAATCCTCTACGTTGGAGAAGGGGCAGCCTCCCAAGAGGACTAGGTTGATGTAGGGGGTGCTCAATTGTCTTAAGGTGGCGGTACCAAAGAGGCTTGCAACTCTTAAAGAACAGCGATTCCTCGTTGAGTCCAAGGAGGAGATGACTTATAGGAAGCTTGAGTCGCCCAAGGAACAACATCCTCCCGCAAAGTCCAAGGAGGCAATGACTTCCCAGACCGCCAAGAAATTGAGGGTGCCTCCTCCCGCAAGAGGAGTTAGTATCAACGAGGAGGCGGCCAAGGAGAGGGCCGAGAAGGAGAGTGCTCCCCTTGTGCTAGAAGTGGCACCAAGTAGGGGGAAGGAGGTCGCCGTTGAACCCATTGAGGTGGGTAGTGACAAATATGCAGAAGCCCAACTACTCGCCTTTCGTGGACATTGGCTCCTCTGAGAAAGTCGGAGTGGGTCAAATCCCGTAAAAGAACTTTGATAATGGTCATGCCGTATTCTCCAAGATTATTGAGGAGTATTTGATGCCGCTCTTGATTGATGAGGTTGGCTTCTTCGCGATGAATGCTATAGTGCAATCATGGCAGACAACCTACTTCCTTGCTTGCCACCATCGACCCGCTCTCGGGAAGATGATCAATTTGGGGTGAAACCTCAAGGATGCTCGGGAGCTCTTGGGAACGGAGCGGATCCCAAAGTTCACCTCGATGGTTGAGGTTAAGGTTATGCAGGGAGAACTCGCCAAGGTTAAGGCTGAGTTGGAGGAGCCTGAAGGAGTTGGCGCTAAAGGCAAAGGGGCTCTACTCCTACCAGGCGACATAATTAAGCATTTGGATGGCAAACATTTACACGAATAATTAAAAACCATATGTATTTAAATCATGCATGCATTGCAATATGATTGTCAAATTTAAGCGTGATGCATCTAAGAACATGTAGGCGCCTTGATAAGCATGCAATTACCTTGATAACTGTGCAATTGTTTCAACAAGTGTATATCATCCTAGAGAAGCATGCTACTATTTCAAGAATTGCCATCTTTCTATAAAACACAAACTCATCAAATAAATGCATTAAAGAGTGTGCTAGAACACTGTGCATATGCATTGGAAAGTGTGTAAGTGCATTATATAAGCATTCAAAAAATGTGCAAATACATTGGAAAATATGCAAGTATATTGTTTGAATGCAAAAAAAAAACATGCAAGTGAGTTTTGTTTGTGCATCAAAAAGCACGTAAGTGTAATATGCGAATGTATTGAAAATGTAAAAAGGCATAAAAAAGCGTGCATGACACATCAAATTGTTGTTATTAAATTTATTTGCTCGTGTTTATACAAGCATGTTGAATATTTTAAGATAAAGTTTGAAAATGCTACACGGGCTAATAAATATGTTTAAATAATAATTATCTCATTTAAAAATTGTGCAATTACTTTACAAAGTTTTGTAATCTTTTTAAATTTGCAAACTCATTCAAAAACTAATTTGTATGCATGTGTCAAAGCTTGAACAAAAATTATGAGAATGCCGCATAAATTTAAAATAAGAGAAAACTGGTATTAACTTGGCTCTTAGAATCGTTTTTACTCTTTTTTAGAAAACTAGCCACTATTTTGAAAATTCACAAACTATCCATTATGTGCAAATTCAAGCTCTCGATTTCACAAGATATTCTTGAGAGAATCACCTTGCTATAGGGCAAGATCGTAAGTCCCACATTTTAAGTCTAATCGTTCTCCTTGCGTGGGCTGGAGTTGACGAGCTGAACCTCAATTATGGCCGTGTTGCTTGAAATTCCCCATTGGAAGGGACTACATAACTTATTTTGTATATCTTAATTCTAAATAGCAATAAGTGTAATAGGAAAAAAATCTGCATGCTAATCACTAAGCATTTTAATTGAGTAACGACTAAAAAGTTTATTCATAAGCGTGCCATTTGAAATAAAAGTCAGGATCACGGATTAGATTGTAGAGTGGCTAAAGCAGTTGTCATAACATTTGATGTCTCAAGCAAAATATTGGCATTTGAGTATCATTGACATTATCATGGTTCATAGCTTAGATTGACAAAGCTTTTACATTAAAAACATAACTTTACATTCCTTCCAGGAGCTTGTAATGGTAGCCTATTGTAAACTTAAGTTGTCACTTTATCCCCCTTCAGCACAAGTGGGGTGTAGCTCATACAACTACTATTCTAAATGAAAATAATGTACCTAGTGCACCACAAGTCAATTTATTATCTGTTGGCACAAGCGGGGTGCATCTCATGCATTCTTTGGTGGCACGATTAGAGTCATAAATATACAAGTACAATAGAACACCCAATTAATATCATACGAGGGGCTTCGTCTATTAGCATGTGCTTTTAAGTTTATGTTCTTTTAATGTTGCATGTGTAGGAAGACATCCATTTTTGCCAATGTCTTGTATATATTAAGTAAGGTGGTTATTTTGATGTGAGATGTGACATACCGCTCATGGTTGTTCCTCATGTTATCGTATGTTGCCCTTGAATTTATAATATGGATATTCTCTATTATTATAGAGCTAAAATTTATACTTTAAAAATTTATGGATACAAACATGAGCTTTACATTATTAAAAAATATTGAATTAAAACATCTGTTTGGTTATGTACATCATACTACTTAGAAATTATCTTATAAATCTATTTATCATATGTACCCTAGATATCCTCTATTTCTCATTATTCACATCTTTTCCAAAAGCATATACATAAACTTTACATCGATCTAACATTACAAGATTCTAACCCGTTTTGTATTTGTTAGAATTAGATCATATTTTTTACATCACAAACACTTAGAAAGCCCACAAAAGCTTCTTGTTCTTGTGGAATTCTTAGAAAATTACATTCAAATACTTATTTAATTGATTTTCCTTTAGAATAAAATTTTGCCTTGTATCTTCGAGCCTTTAGTACCTATGAATATTTTTTTTCAAGGCAAGGCTTCTATTTTTGTAAGCAATATTGCTATCCTCGTGCTTCCATTTTTAGTCACCACATATTGAAGACATTATTTTGATGAAATCATCATAGGTGCTTCTGAAGTACACAAATACTTGGTTCATTGTGATAATCAACCTTATGCCAAATATTATTAGATAACATAATGGAAAATGGATGAAGATGACACTATATGTACTTGAAGAAGAGTACCATAAATTTGCCTTTTTTAAGTAGAATTCTTTTCTCCTATTGGATTTGATGTGGCACATAAACCCAAATAGAGTTGTGAGAATAGCCAGCTTAAACTTGGCTCGTTAAAGAGCTCAAGACTTGAGCTTATTGAGCCACAAGCACTAGCTTGGATTTGAGTCATATATTATAAAATCTTGAGCTTGAGCTCAATAAGACTCGACTTGTTAGCTCGCGAGCCAGCTTGAATTACTTTTAAAGCCTTAATATTGATTCTTTCTTCGTCTTGTAATTTAAATCAACACTGTTGGTGTAGTGAACTCGATCCCTAGGCTTATGAACTCCTCAATCCCGTCTCATGAACTCCTCTTCTTCATCACACGTTAATTTTGACGATACTTCTCTAGTGAATTCCTGTTGATGCGATTTCCTACAAAGCCCACTTTTTCATCATGCATCGCTTGTCCCAACTCTCAACGATGCCTTCTCCAACAAACTTCAGTCGATGCAATCTCCATCAAACTCTTTTTATTCATCATGAGCAGTTGGTCTTGATAATGTCTTTTCCAACGAATTCCTCTTCCACATAAAAAACCATTGGTCTGGGTCGATCAATGAACTTTGCAGCTCCTTCGACGCCTTCTCTAGCGTGTAGCAATTTTGGCTTGAGCTCATGAGTTAAGCTCAAATCTATTGTTCCTTGGCAATCCGAGCTCAAGTGCAGTCTATAAGCTTGACCAGAGCTCGGGCTAAGTTTGAGCATGACCTTGTGCGAGCGTGTTGAGCTTGAGTTAGGCATGAGTTGAGTTTAACACAACTCGTTTACACCCTACACACAAACCTAGAGTGTGATTAGACCCACTTGTAAAGTCTATCCAAATCACATCAGTTTATTAATTTAAATTGGGAAATTTGATTTTATATTATCTCATAATAGAAGATTTCTTGAGATTAGCTCGAATGGACCAATTTCCGACTTTCACATGTAATAGGTCAAATATCCTCGTAATTTGTTAATTCGGGAAAAATGCATGTGTTTTGATGAAATAACTCAATATAAAATATGTTCTTTAGTGATATTGCCAATGCTGAAAGGACATAGTACATCTCTTTTCTAACTGCAATTGTTGTCTTCCAAACATTGCTTTTCCTCACCTTGGGGTGATCCTTTGTTGTAAAGTTTTACTATGTGCTCTTTCAAATGACAGAGGTTAGCATCTTTTTTTTTTTGGTTGTTTAAATTTGAATGTAATTATCAAGCAATGGTTATAGAAGGAAATAGATGGTAAGAGAACCTTAGGTTCGAAAAGGGAAACGAACAAGCTTCGAACACCATATTTAGTTCTTAATCCATGTTCGAACAAAGATTGAATGTATGTTTCGATCCTAGGGTTCTACTATGCTATGCAAAATTAGGTTTGAAGCTGTTCTCTAATAATGTTTGAACTTGTTTGAATATGGTTTGAATCAACACCTATTCTCTCTTAGGTTCTTGCATAGATGAAGATAATTATGTTGATGGGTTGAAGTTAGAAGCGGCAAATAATATTAGAATTCTTTAAGAGGAAAGAAAATTAATGGTTTGAATGAGGTTCGGACCTCGTTAGAACATGGTTCGAAGAAGGTTCATTTAAGGACCTAGGATTCTCCTTTTATATTCTGCATATTATCTCTTGGACTTTCAATATTTGAAGGGTGATAATTGCATTCAATCTTATATAATGAAGAAATTTTAATAATGTCATTTGGGTTGTTTGATGGGGCTTGTGATCACCAAATTTATACTCCAACTCTGGCTTATTATAATTGTAACTTTGATATAATTGTATTTGATTTGAAATGTTGGCTTTTGAGTTTGTAATGATATATCAAATTATTGGTTATATGATATTATTGACTGTTTCAATTTAATATATTTAAGTTTTATTAATTCATGTTGTACGAGTTATATTAGTGGTTGGTTATATTTAAGTTCTAATACTTGTCCTTATATTGTTCTATTTTTTTTATTAAACTTCAAAATATTGATGTTCTTTCAACACCTTCTTGTTGCATGAGATTCTAGATTTAACAAGCTATAAAAATGCAATCAAAAGCTACAACAATTATAACACTTCAAAATACCATTATAATAAATTTTACACAAAATATTATAAATGTGATAAGGGAAAGTACATCCACAATAGTAATAACAACGGGGACTAAAACTTTGATATGATAGATATAGAGTTCAATTATAATGTATATAGAGTTAAATTATAATGGCTATAACATAATATAATTAAATTTCAATTGTATCTCAGGTTAGTGTTATGAGCAATTAATGCTCATAACATCTTTATGCTCGTACTTAATATTGCCATAACACTATGCTCGTACTTACAATAACAACCAATTATTATTGATGTTCTCAGATGCTCTATTAGCATGATATAAATAATCAGTAAGAGTCATGTTTTAATAAAGGGTTTTGAACGCCAGACCCAATTGGAATCAGATCACCGAAGTTTCACTGGGCTTTGCCCGAATTATTTGTGTTTGTAAGACACTATGCTCGTGTCACACCCCATTTTGACCCCCTTACAGTCAATCTGGAGTATAATAAAGAATGAAAATCTAAATAGGTCCATTCTTAGTAACACCCATTATGAGCTACTTTTATTAGAATTAGATGGGTAAAAATAAATCTATTTACTCTCCTAATAATTCAAGCTTTATACTTAACAACATGAAACATGCAATATATCTCAATTAAACATCAAATATACTTTAAAGAAATACAGAGTTTTATTAAAACTTTTAAAATTTATTTACATACCTCAAAAGTCTTTGTACAAACATCCCTTGGACCTCTATGCACACCCACAAAATATGTACATTAAAAAGAACAATCACCCCTTCAGCCTAGTGCCCTACTGTCTCATTCCTTTTTCATGCAGTAAAACCACTGCTAATGAGCTTGGGCTCCATGAAATACATAAGCAATAATAATAACATTTTGACAATTAATTTAAAAAATATTGTAATTCCATACCATACTGATTATAAGAAATGCATATTATCACTTTATGTATTATTATTGTTCAATACCTTTAGACAAGTCATATGATGACTATAGACTTTTGCAGAATGCCAGCTTTATAATTAAAGGTCCGGTCCGAATTCTCTACTTTTAAAATTGAAGCTGATCTCTCATTCAAGGTTGGGGCTGCATTCCCAACTTTTAGAATTTCGAGCATGTAGGCTTACCTCGTCAGGTCATTTGCCTTTACTTGTGTGGACCAATCCCCCATATATGACTTATTTTACAGTTTTTACTTTCTCATATCATTCGCTTTTCACAGTTATAAATATAATCATTACTACTTAATGAATCAACAAAAAACTAGAATAAATTGAATAAAGGCTATCATAACATAACAAATATGAATTTGCAAATATAAGAACTTATTATTTCCTATGTATCGTTTGGGTATCTCACCTCATCCTCTAGGGTAGTTGGGTGATGTTCTTCGAAGCCCCGACCTCTTTTTCGTTTATAAAGAACCTAAGCATAAATATTTACCTTTTATATACATTCTACCACAAATTCAAGCTATATAAAGAAAATCTTACATGCTTACTTCAAAAGCACTCTTCCTCATTTAACCCACAATTTTTTTCTTCTACTCCCTAATCTCCCTCTTTTCTTCTTTTTGTTTTTTTTTTTCTACTGAAATCAGCAAACTGGTTTCAGCACACAAAAATTTCATCAAAACCAACATTCAGCCTTCAAAAATTCTTTGCTGAAATATTGAATACCAGCAAACCCCTTACCTGATTTCAGCTTTCCTCCACTCTTTTCCTTATGAATTTCAGCTAACGGTTGCTGTTTTCTGCAAATGGGTTTCAACAAAATTTAAGAAACATTGCCTTCAGCAAACATTGCCTCATCCCTACCTAATTTCAGCAAGCAAGCAACTATACCTGAATTTATTACTTTCTATTATCTGATTTCTGCATATTGGCTTCCCCTTCAAGTAGCCGAATTTTCCCTGCAGCTACTTCTTTGCTCTCCACTATCCACTCGAACTCCAGAGAACAACAGTGGGTGGGGAGAAACGAATGGAAAAAAATAGAAGCTATAATGCTTTGGCTTTAGGGTAAGCTTAATATTATAATATAATTAATGTTCCATTGCAGAATTCCACTCACCTTTCCCAGCTTTCCCCACCGTTGCTTAAGGTACTCTCTAATCAATTCCTTTGTATGCCCATTTTAGTGGGATTTGCTGCTATCCTACAATAACAATAATTAGGATTTAGTTGTTAATAATTAACTTTTATATGAAGCCTTTAAGAATGATATCTATATATACTATTAAATTGATTCTTTTTAGATACATTTATATATCTATCAAAATACTCAAAATTAAAAGTAAAATTTAATGAAAATAAGTTGACATCTAGAGGAAGTTTAGGCTTACATTTATTTTGAACATATTGAATATTATAGCTCGTTCTTAATATTGTTTTATGAACGGGTATACACATATCTAGCTTTGTTTTCTACTAATGTGGGACTAACGGAAGAAAGCTGAAATAATACTATATTCTTTGAAGTTTTCATCAAAATAGGACACTTAGATTGAGCTTGCTTCGATGGATACTTTTGTTCCCTAATACTTTAATTTGTTTTAACAGGTTTTGAAGATAGTTTTCTCAAACAATCCATTCCTTGCCAAGTTATAGTCTTACTTTGTAGATATACTCTGTAAAATAATCATTGTACCAAACTAGCTTTAAGTTGCTATTTGCCAATCTTGAGCACATTCGCATATTTTTTGTTGTTTCAAAGATATTGCTAAAGTTTGTGAATACTACAATTTTTTCACATCTTATTTTAGACGACAATTTCTTTGGGCCTGTATCCACGAGCTTTATCAACTCTGGCCATCTAAGCGAGTCTGGAATGCCAGATGACAACAGTCATGACATTACACTAGATTCGACAGCCTTCTCCTTGCATTTCAGGAACATAGCTCCTCCGGATGACCAGTCAGTTAATTCTGCGGGAAGCCTGAGAACGCCTATCGGAGACACAATGCCTACAATGCCTCTGGGCTTCTTTGTTGGAAGCGATCAGACTGAGAAACTGTCAAGTAAATGTTCTGTTGGTGAAAAGAGCAATGTTTCTGGGGATCGAAATAATATTAATCTGAATATTGGTGGGTTTCGCAGTCATGAATATGGGAAGTTGTCTCATTCGTTGGAAGCACTCATGGATGAAGTAAACTTGAGAGTGCAACAAAAATCTCCAATCGGAGATTGTAGATTTATAATTTCTAGTAGTCAAACTGATAAAGTTGGAGGCATTAGGAAACTGTGGAAGGATGGAGAAGAGGTTGGTAATCAGAATTCTTGCTGTGATGAACCTGGTCATGTTATTCCCTGCTCAGTCTCTCCAATGGGACTTCCAATAAGCAATGAATCCTTGTTGCATGCAAAAGATAAAGCATTAGCAAGTCACTCAAACAGTGAGCAAATAAAGGTGGGAAGTTCATGTATGATGTTCATTCTCCCCTCTTTTTTGAAATACTGTTCGAATTGTTGTCTAAAATGTAACATGAAGCAATAAGGCAACGTGCAATTTTAGATGCTTTTCTTTTTATTCTGAAAAACAACACCACCCTGTTCTTCAATAAATGAGCTCAATGAAATGGTTATATTCATGCCCTTGTCTTCTAGAAAGTTGGAGATCGACAAAAAAGTGAGTGATAACATCTATTTCTCTTTGTTGTTATTTTTTGGATTGTGGGATGAAGGCTTGTTGTTGTTGTATTTGTCAAAAGCATTTTATTTTAATTTGCTTCATGTTCTTCTTTTAATGACAAGACATAATGAACAACTATGTTAATTAGTTTTATTAAGTTGCAATGAGAGGTTATATTTTAGTGAATTGTTGATGTAGTATTAGTTAATTAATGCCGTGTTGCTCCGAGTGTAAACATTTTAATTTGTTAGAGATGTTACTTGCAATCATTTTGTTTATCCTCAATTTCATCATTTGTTCTATTCTAAAAGCCTTTTTATTAAATCACATATTTAAATGTGCTTTCCACGTTGTTCAAGCAATAGGTGCATTAAATTGATACGCCTTGGAAACAAAAATAACAAATGAACAATGGAAAAACCACATAAATACTAATAATAGTGGCTGATTGTGGATTATAACTTCAATTTGAAAGCAAGATACAAGTGATATACAATTCGAGAGGTAGATCGACTCACCCTCAAAGAAAAAGCTATATCAAAACCAAATCAAAATCTGAATAAAGCAAATAAACCCTAAGCATATCCTTAAATAAGCTTCTCCTACTTCACTCCTAAATTAGCCCCCCTTTCTAATATATTTCCCTTTCCAATTTGAATTTCAATTAGGAAATCCTTCATAATTAATCCCTTTCTAAATCAGCCCCACCCCCCTTTCCTAATATATTTCGCTCTCCAATTTCAATTTCAATTATGAAATCTTTCCTAATTAATTATTTCCTTTGTTCATTTTCTCGCATAATGAATTAATGTTTTAATCGGTCCCCTAAGTGCTGTTGATGTATCAATACCCCCCTCCAAAAAAAAAGTACAACCTTGTCCTCAAGGTGGAATGAAAGAAAATGATGGTGATAATCTGGTAGGACTCCCACATGGCCTCGTGCTCCTGTAGGTCATTCCACCTGATTAACCTTCCTTGTTTCAGGACTCCCACGTGGCCTCGTGCTCCTGTAGGTCATTCCACCTGATTAACACTTCCTTGTTTCCTGTTACTCTCTGTCGCACTCCTTTGACCTCCAATTGTTTTAGTAACACCTCCATGTTGTCCGCCAAGGTCAGGGGAAGTGAAGAAGATGAAATGGGCTCTTTTATCATCCGTTGCAACAGGGATACATGAAACACCAGATGGATGGATGATGACGGCTGTAACTGTAGGCGATATGCCATGTCCCTGATGTGCTCTACTATCTTGTATGGACCAAAATATTGGGCACGATAACTTATCATTTCGTCACCTTGCCAAGGTTTTCTGTCTGTAGGGATGAAGCTTCAGTCAACCATGTCCCCTACCTCAAACTGAACTTCTCTCCTTTGAGCATTTGCTTTCCTCTTCATAATTTGTTGAGCTCTAAATAAATGCCCCTTTAGTTCCCCCAGGATCATGTCTCTGTCCCCAAGTACTGCTCTTTTGAAGCCATCGGTGTGGTTCCTTATTCATAATATATCAAGTGAGGCGGATCTCTTTTGTATAACACTTTGAATGATGTGGTATGAGTTGCCGAATGATAGAAAGTGTGATACCAATACTCAACCCAAGCCAACTATTTTGCCCATAACTTTGGTGTATCCGATATAAAGCACTGCAGATAAGTCTCCACACTATGATTGACCACCTCTGTCTGTCCGTCCGTCTGAGAATAATAAGCATTGCTCCTTTTCAAAATGACCTCCTGCATTTTGAACAATTTCTTCTAGATTTGGCTCAAAAAAATTATTTCTTGTTCTGATACAATTGATTAGGGATTCCATGTAGTCTCACTACCTCCCTCGTGAAAATCGTGGCTACTATTACTGCTGTGTAGGGATGGAGAAGGGGAATGAAATGGTCATATTTAACCGATCCACTACCACCAGTATCATAGTGTTCCTTCTGACTTTGACAACCCTTCAAAGAAGTCTTGGTCACATCCTCCCACATCTTTTATGGCATAGCTCGCAGTTGGAGGAGCCATCCTTTAGACATAGCTAGATATTTGTGCCTCTGGCATATATTACAGCTAGCCATTATCTTCTCGACACCCTTCTATATACCCTCCCAATATAGTTATGCTGAGAGCTGACAATATGTCTTTTTGGCCCCTGAATGCCCCCCCCATTGGCCTTCCTATGAAACTCCTGAAGCAAGCAGGGAATGTAAGAAGAAGTCTTTGGAATCACAAACTGTCTATAATGGAGTAACTTTTGTCCCGCCATTGAATATCCTGAATGACTATTTTTATTTTCTGCCAACTCCTCCGTAATTTTCCTTAACCCTGTATCCAGTTTGTTCTCTCTCATTAGTGCTTCCCAGTCAACCACCAAGGGCACAAACAATGCCACATCTGTGGTTCCTCTTTGCACCTGGATAAACCATCTACTGCTTTTCAACTCCAGGTTGGTATCTAATCTCAAAGTCATAGCTCAATAACTTGGAAAGTCATCTTTGATGCTCCCCAGTGACCATTCTTTGCTCCAACAAGTATTTTAAACTCCTATGGTCGGTTCTAACAATGAAATGTTTTCCCAATAAATAAGGCTGCCATTTTTGGATGGCAATACAATTTCCATCAGCTCTCTTTCATAGATAGACTTGAGCCTTGCCTTGAATGTTAACACTTGACTGAAATAGGCCGTTGGTCTCTAGTTCTGCATGAGTATTGCTCCCAACCCAAAACCTAAGGCATATGTACTCTTGAGCCGTTCCATCAACGTTGACTCTCCCCTCTTGAAGTTGTCCTTCTTGAGCTGTCCGTCAACTCTCCGCTATGGAATCGTATCCTTTCACAAGTTTCCATTAGTAGCTTGTGAGTCCCAAGAATCCTCTAAGCTCCTTTAAAGTCTTAGGTATGGGCCATCTAAGCATGTCCTCAATCTTACTCTGGTCAACCCCTTTTGAGATACCACATGACCTAAATACTCCACTTTGGGTTGGGCGAAAGAACACTTATTCTGATTGGCAAACAAATGGTGCTCTCTTAAGGTGGACAACACAACCCTTAAATGCTCCAAGTGCTCCCCCTCAAACCTACTATATACCAGTATATCGTCAAAAAATACTAGCACAAACCTTCGTAGGTATGTCTGGAATACCTTATTCATTTGGGATTGGAAGGTGGCTGGTGCATTAGTGAGGCCAAAAGACTTCACTAAGAACTCATACTGTCCCTTGTGCATCCTAAAAGCTATATTGTTGGTGTCACCTGGTCGCATTCAGATCTGGTGGTATCCGGATTTTAAATCGATATTGGAGAATATCATAAATCCACCCAACTCATCTAACAACTCATTAATGTCTTGTATGAGAAACTGATCTTGTACAATTTCCTTATTGAGGGCATGATAGTCTACACGGAATCTCCAGCTTCTATTCTTCTTCTTCACCAACAATATAGGACTATAAAGGGCTTACACTGGGCTTGATAATTCCAACTTCAAGCATCTCTCTAATTAGTCTCTCAATCTCATCATTCTGGACCTGAGGGTTGTGGTATGGTTGTACATTAATGGGAGAGAATCCTTTCTTCAGAATGATAGGGTCCTCATGCTCACAAGGAGGTGGCAATCAAGCTGGAATACCTCCTTGAGTTGCTGAAAAAGTGGTTGGACCATGTTTGGAGTGTTCTCTATCCTCTTTCTCTCCTCCTTCCAAAGCGGATCTCCACCAAGAATCCCCCTCCTTCCTCTTGTAGGGCCCGAACCAGGGTTTTCAAAAAAACCACGGCTTTGGATAAGCTGGGGTCTCCTTTAATTATCACCTTTCTCCCCTCTACTTGGATCTCCTTAGCTAATGCCTTTTATTTTACCTTGGTTTCTCTAAAGGTTTGTAGCCACTTCATTCTCATAATCAAATCAGTACTTCCTATCTCTAATGAGAGAAAATCCTCTCTGATGTGAATCCCCTGCAGCTCTACCATCAAATCCTGACATATCCCTCTGCTCTTCTCCACGTTTTCTGTGCCCATCATCACTCCAAAACATCTCTCGTCTACTAGTTTCAGCCTCAGTTCGTCGACCATCTGATTCGGTATGAAATTATGGGTAGCCCCATTGTTCACTAGGATTGCCACTGCCTCTCCTCCTATCTGTCCCCTCACCTTCATAGTGTGATTCTGGGTGAATCCCACTATAGTGTTCAGTGAAACTTCAGGCTGTCTTCAGCCACCTTCAAGTGTGCAGGCTCTTCTGCCTCTTCTTCCTCCCCTTCCTCCCTCGCTGCCTCTGCCTTGTTCATCTTCTTATCACACACCAAGAGAATCTGCATGGTAAGATTTTTTCATTTATGTCATGGTGTAAATTTATCGCCGCATTTATAACATAACCTCTTTTGCCCTCCTATCCTATATAATTCCCAAAATGTTCAAAATAAATGTAAGTATAAATTTCCTCTAAATGTTAAATTATTTTCATTAAACTCTACTATTATTTTCGTGCATTTTGATATCTGTAGGTGTACTTCATTACAAAGTCTAATAATTTATATATTCAGTTAAAAGTATTTAATTAACATTACAATTGTTAATTAAACAGTTACTGATGAGGACATCAAGACATGGAAAAATCTACTAGAGGCGTGATCGTCAATCAACGGCCACGATTACATCACGCTACTTATGATTTTCATATTTATGATTCATGTATTATTTTTTTATTTTATGAAGTTGATTATGCTTTTACTTTTTTTGCCCTTACTTAAGAGCTTAGGTATGTGTAAGCCCTAGGGGCATTGTAGTACTTTTTATT